GTATTCCTTGAGGTTGGCAGCCACGCACCTGATGGAAAAGATTTTCGACATTGGCCCCCAATTTGGGTTTTTCCTACTTTTTTTTTTCATTATTCTTCTGATGATGGGTGGGTGTTATAGGGTTTTGTTTATCAGTGGCTTGAATGTGAGGAATCACTGATTTCAGTGGTATAGAAGCGAAGCCCATCAAACACACGTCCACCCCTAATGACATGGTCAACTCAATCTCAAACTTTAGAGGAGCTGCTGCTCTACTGCAACCACTTGCACTGCCAGTGGACTTACTACCAACCCCTCTCCTCCAAAATCAACTGCAGCAACACAACAATGGGATCCAGCGAGGATCATTCATTTTGTCCCACAAGGAGCAATGCCTGATATGTATGCAGCTGCCACCACTTGATCTGAGGGACTTACACAGTCTTAATCTTTCTCCCAAGAAGGACTTTAAATTATCAGTGGTTTGAAGTTGTTTTACTTTTTGTTTTGGAATCCTTCCTGTTAAATAGATGCTCACCAGATGATACTCCTAACTATAATACGCCCTAGTTACCAGCAGGGATGCCACATCTCCCCTCTCTCCACACCACTTCTTAGACCAGCACAGAACCTGAGCCAAACCTACTGACGATACGAAGGTGATAGCTAGCCAAATATTAAGCCTGTTGCCCCGTGTATTTACCGATATCAGGCTGCAAGACCCACTAAGAGTAACCATCACATTTACTATGTTAGTTTTTTAAGCTGTATGTTCCTTTTGCTTGATTTTATTTATTATTTTTTTATTTTATTAAATCTACGTAAACTGGCTGGGAATGCCATGTGCCTGTATAAATGACCCACAGGATGACACATTATTACCCATCGAATCTTATCGCTGGCTCACTGAAAGCCTCATCTTGGCCAGCGCTAGATGTGATGCACTAGTTACAGTTATTTGCAGTTACACACACACACACACTGCACCCATCACAAACAGACCCTGCACCTCTCACACACACAGACACTGCACCCCTCACACACATTGCAACCCTAACACACATTGCACTTCTCTCACACACACATATTGCCCCCTAACATACACAAACACCATCACTGCACCCCTACACACATTACATTCCAGACACACACAAACTATAACACTTATACACACACACACACACTAGATCCCTTCCACACACATTCACACACTAGATCTTCTGCATACACACTAAATCTCCTATACATTCTCTGGGTATACACACACAATAGAACCTCTACATACACACACTGCACCACATACACAAACACCATCACTGCACCCCTACACACATTACATTCCAGACACACACAAACTATAACACTTATACACACACACACACACTAGATCCCCTCCACACACATTCACACACTAGATCTTCTACATACACACTAAATCTCCTATACATTCTCTGGGTATACACACAAAATAGAACCTCTACATACACACACTGCACCATATACACATACACTACATTACTGACATACACACTCTACCACATACACACAAACTACAGTACTGAGATACACACTCTACCACCTAACAATTCATGTCATTTTTCTCAAGCGAGTGCTCTTCAGGTGAGCTCTGGGCATGGACTGCCCTGGAAGAGCATTGTCCGAACGTGCTCACTTTGAAAGGGTGTCAAAGTGCCTGTCATGTTTGTAATCCTGAAAATCTTTAGCATGTCTTTATTGCTCATGTTTGCTTTCATTATTGGGATTTTGAAGGTGACTAGATGGAAAGCGTTTAAAATTTTCTCACCTGGAAAAGTACTGATTCATCGAAGGCCCCTGTGCCAAATCTGGGGGCTTTGAGTACAACCCCAGTAAATCTCTTGTATGCCAGTGGCTTACATACTGAGTCCGTGGAAAAAAATAGAACATTTATGTACAAATAGAAAAAAAATAGGGCATTTACCATGAGAAAGGACAATTTCACACTCAAAAGCGCAACATTCAGCCATATTTCTTTGTACACAATACCCATACTTACTGTAATCACCAGTAGTGACTGATTAGATCATTATATTGATTCAAAGATAAATTGTGCACTATATTCTATACTGTGTAGTTCTAGACCAAAACCAAATTGAGATTATTGTTATTTTTATTATTAGTTTTGTTAGCTGAGAATGCTAATGTGATTCAAATATAATCATGTTTTTAAATTGGTCTTGATTTGTCATTTGGAAAGGGCAAAGCTGAGCTGGAGCATGGCATCACAAAGTACATTTTAAATTATCTCTGTGCTATTTTTGTCATTGTCATGTTGTCAATGACTGTACTTTACAAATTTATTCAAACATCTTTACTGTTATACACGATGTCCTAATAAACACATTTCACAAAACCTAGAATAAATAAACACTACTAAACGGGATACATATTCAATTTAGAATTTTTTTTATTTTTTTTCATAATACTTTTCTCCTCTATTTTGTTTTTTCAACTGTCCCTGGTCTTGTCCCCAAGCCAATTAGTGGATTGGATTTGCTCATGTGTGATCGACAATATTATAATTACCCATAATTAATTGATATATTATATATAGATAGGACAGAAAAAACATAGCAATAGTTTTTTTTGTAACATATGCATTAATTTGTTAAAGATATATCCAACCAACCATTTATCTTGCACAACACAATGATGGTACATCTTTGAAAAATCATTGATATTCACTTTCACTGCAGCACAATGAATATTTTACATAGCCGTTTGTCGTTTATACTGTAAAATTCTATCACAAGCAATATATAACCACATGGGTTCTTATGACATGAACAGTAAAGAGTGTTGTATAAGATGACAACTCTGGCTGCTTTAAAGAACAACAGCACTCTAACTATATATCTGCCAGAAGGGTGAGAAACCCATCATGTTGTACAGCAAAATAATAACTGCGTCCCAACAGGAAAAGTGTTAAATATTCAGAAAGTAGGGATATCCCTAACCACTAAAGAATATCTGGGCTATCTTTGTTGTTGCAACAGAAATTTGCGTACCTTTCAGCTTGCTTCTTCAATCCAATTAAAACAGGCAGTTGAAACCCACTACCATTGATGCGAAAAGTGAACGCTCTGCACATGCTTCTCAAGGGATAATAAAAAAATATAAATTATACTGGAATGATGATAATAATAAACCAGAGTACAGTACAAAGCCATATTTACAACTTCACAAATGACAGTAATTAGTTTATTTCAATAGTTATCAATGAGTCAGTGATGCTGTCCACTTGTAGAAATGACATTTCATTTGTAGGCTTGCTATGCAGAGATTTTATTAAAACATTATGAGATTAAGAGATCACAATGTAATTACATTCCTACATGTGTTTGATTTTAATTCTATTAAAGGGACACTATAGTCACCTGAACAACTTCAGCTTAATGAAGCAGTTTTGATGTATAGAACATGCCCCTGCAGCCTCACTGCTCAATCCACTGCCATTTAGGAGTTAAATCCCTTTGTTTATGAACCCTAGTCACACCTCCCTGCATGTGACTTGCACAGCCTTCCATAAACACTTCTTGTAAAGAGAGCCCTATTTAGGCTTTCTTTATTGCAAGTTCTGTTTAATTAAGATTTTCGTATCCCCTGCTATGTTAATAGCTTGCTAGACCCTGCAAGAGCCTCCTGTATGTGATTAAAGTTCAATTTAGATATTGAGATACAATTATTTAAGGTGAATTACATCTGTTTGAAAGAGAACCCATTTTTTTTTTTTTCATGCGGGCTCTGTCAATCGTAGCCAGGGGAGGTGTGGCTAGGGCTGCATAAACAGAAACAAAGTGATTTAACTCCTAAATGACAGTGAATTGAGCAGTGAAATTGCAGGGGAAAGATCTATACACTAAAACTGCTTTATTTAGCTAAAGTAATTTAGGTGACTATAGTGTTCCTTTAAACAAGATACAAAAAAACATAAGGTTGTAGTAATAAGAAAGAGCATTATTGTAGCAAAAATCTCGTTTGATATAAAATAATCATATAATAAAATTTAGGTAATTTCATACCCAAGGGAACTCAATGGAATCAATTTATTAGTGGCGAGTACATTCTGAATATATCTCACCATAAAAACATAGCATAGCATTGTGAAACTTTATTAATGTTTGTGATCTTAAAGCTACTATTTAAATAAAAATGTAAAAAGTCTGAGGTCAGGTGATGTGTTTAGAACAATGTGAACCTGCGGTCGTGGCAAATGGAAGTGGGTAAAGGGTCTTATAACAGAACTATAGAGTACCCACAAGATCAGGACAGGCCTTCTAATTCTAATAGGGACAGGCCAAGTGGTTTCATGACGATAAAGTCTCTAGATTTTTACCAGATTTATTTGAAGCATCAACAATGATAACATGTTTCTTAGTCCTTTCTGGGCTACAGTCATTGATTTTGGATTGCAATCCCTGAAGAAGATATATAGAGAGAGACTGTGTCTCTTTATTGCACCGAGTGCCAGTGTCTGCTCAGTGTTTCTTTCTGTACTACACACATCAGATTTTTTTTGATTTTTTTTGAAATCATAGTTTTTTATTATTTTGATAAAGCAATAGGGGAGTGGGATACAGAAACAGAAAAAAAAGGGAGGGTGGGGTGGGGCAATAGATCACAATCACAATTTAGGACCAATTAACATTCCATGCTAAAGTACATCGTTGTTTAGACCACCTATACATAGTATGTCTACAGTGTTTGTAGCGAGGTCTCGCGTGGAGGGAACTGGATGACTACTTTCCCTGTTCTTATCTAAAACAGTGTTATAGGTCGTGTATTTGTGGCAGGGGGGGAGGAGGGATAGGGAGGGGTAACCAGGGGGTAATAAAGTTTTCCACTGGTCTATAACATCCTATATATAACATCAAACATGTGTCAACATATGTGGTGTCACCTAAACTGTCTGTGGGTGTGGTATGCCCCGTATGAAGTGATTAGGCACCCTCCTGTCCGAGTGTGTATGTGATTGCACGCGTTTAAGATTCGAGGTGGAGAGTACTACTACTGCTAGGGTATGTCATGTGGTCTTCGTCGTGTTTCTTATGTGGTGTGTAGATATCGGCCCATGTTTTCCATGCGTCTTGGAATTTCAGTGATTGTGTGATGGAGGTGGTAGACAGTTGTTCATAAATATAGTATTGGTGGAGCTTGTCCATCAATTGTTGTTTAGTGGGGCAATAGGTGTGTTTCCATCCTTGCGCTATGAGGTTTCTAGCAGCTAGGATTGTAAGTATCGTCACTTGTTTAAGGGGTCTGGTCAAGGAGGGAGGGAGTAGCAGGAATAAACATGCTAAAGGGTCTAATGTGACATTAGTAATATTGAGCAGCTCGAGAATGTCTTTAACGTAACCCCAAAGAGGGGCCAGGGTAGGACATTCCCACCATATGTGGAACATTGTGCCTTTTGCCCCTCCGCACCGCCAGCACCACTCAGAGACTGAGGGGTAAATTTTGTGCAGTTTACTTGGTGTTAAATACCACCTATAAACCAGCTTCTTGTGTGCTTCTAGATGTGAGTAACAGTTGGTGATACCTTTGAGTGCATTGAGTGATTGCAACCAGGTGTTGCCTGACGGCGAGGAGATGTATTCCGCGTGCCATTGTTGTTCGTAAGTGGGGGCTTTTGTGGCAATTGCGTCCAGCAGTATGTTGTAGCATAGAGATAACGTCTTGGGCTTTGTAGGTGAGAGCCAGCATTGGTCATGTAACGGGTCTAGATGGTGTAGGTTGGTGGATGTCATGTCTGATTTTGTAAGTATTTTATAGGTGGCAATGCTTTGAAGTTGGAGATACTGAAAGACGGAGGCGTTAGGTAAATCAAATTTCCGTTGAAGATCTGGAAAGGACAAGAGTTCATGGTTGTGGTATGTCTACTATGTGTTTTATGCCGTGTTTTATCCAGGAGTTCATCGTCAACCCTGGGGCCAGGGAGTTCAATGCCGTTATCGGGGCCCGCGGGTGAAACTTGTTGGTTTTGTGCTGGGTGCGGTGTAGCGCGTCCCATTGTTTAATAGTAGTGATCGAGGTATTGAAAAGGTGGGGCATGTTTGGTCTTATATGTGTTGGGGTCCATAACATCCCTACCAGGGAGCCGCCAGGCGCCCTAGCGTTTTCCATGTCCACCCATTGAAAAGTCCCTTTGGGAGTGTGGAGTTTTATAGCTGCCTCTAGGAAGGATGCTTTATGGTATTTGTGGATATCTGGGAAACCCAGTCCACCCTTGTCCGAACGTTTTTGGAGAAGTGACATCGAGAGCCGTGGTTTGCGTGATTCCCAAATAAAGGAGGAGAGAATGGCTTGCATATGCTTATAAAACGTCGGATTTACGTAAATCGGCAGCATTCTAAATTTGTATAGAAGTTTAGGCAGAAGCATCATCTTTATTGAATTGATTCTTCCCAGCCAGGAGAGCTTTACTGCTTTCCATTGTTGGGTATGCGTTTTGCACATTGGTATTAGTGGTTTGAAGTTTAGTTTGAATGCTTCTGCAGGGGATGGGCCAAGTTTTACTCCTAGGTATGTGATGTCGGTGGTTCTCCAGTCGAAGGAGTGTGATTGTTTAAGTCGTGTTATCAGTGAACTTGGTAGATTAATTGGTAGAGCCTGTGTTTTGCTTTGATTTAGCTTGTAGTAGGAAAGTTGGCCATACTGCTGGAGCAGTTGTATTAGTGCCGGGACAGATTTTTCGGGTTCTTGGACCGTGAGTAGGATATCATCTGCAAACATGGAGAGGCAGAATGTGTGGTTTCCTATGTTAACGCCCGTGACCTTATTATGTTGCCTAATGGTAGCTGCCAGGGGCTCCAGGGACAGAATATACAGTAATGGTGACAAAGGACATCCCTGCCTGGTACCGTTGGTGATACTAAAAGGTGTGGATAGAAAACCAGAATTAGATACTCTCGCCTGTGGGCTATTGTATAGGGCCATGATGCCTGAGACAAGGCCAGCTGGGAAGCCAAATTTGTGTAGAACTTGCCGCATATATTCCCAGCTGACCCTGTCAAAGACCTTTTCCGCATCCAAGGCCAGGAGTAGACCCTGAGCACGTGTTCTATGCATGTGTGCCAGTATGTTGAGGACCTTCCGTGTGTTGTCCGAGCCCTGTCTGCCTTTAATAAACCCTGATTGGTCGTTGTGTATCAGCGTGGGCAGAAAGTTGGATAGTCTATTGGCTAGAAGTTTGGCATAGATTTTGACATCTGCATTGATGAGGGAAATTGGTCTAAAGTTTTGGAAATGGGTTGGGGGCTTCCCAGGTTTGGGTAGGGTCGATATATGGGCTACGAGCATATCTGATGGTACTGCTCCCGAGATGTAGCAGGAGTTGTATAGGTTTGTGAGGTGGGGCGTAAGTAGGCTGGTATAAGTCTGGTAGTAGAGGTTGGTATAGCCATCCGGCCCTGGGGCTTTTTGTTTGGGTAAGTCTTGGATCGTCTTCCCTACTTCTTCCATCGTAAATGGTGAGGTGAGAGTCGCAATGTCGGAGTCTTGCAGTTTGGGAACGTCGACAGATTGTAAGAAGTGGGTGATGGAGTGCGGGTAGGGTGGGACTATGTCTGCACTGTCTTTAAGATTGTAGAGGGAGCTGTAATAGAGTGCGAATTCGTCCACTATTTCTTGTGGATTTATCAATTTTTTACCTTGAGGAGTTTGGATGTGTGCAATTTTCGTTTGCTGTGAGCGGGTTTTGAGTTGTGCGGCTAGTAAAGCCCCTGCTTTATTACCTTTAGTAAAGAATTTGTGTTTGTATTGCTGTAGGAGATGGGTAGTTTTCGCTAGTTCATAGTGGTGAAGTTCTTTTTGCAATGCGGCTAGTTGCTGTTGTGTGTCTTTTGACGGTTGTTGTTTATTTTTATGTGTTAATTCTGTGATGTCTTTTATAAGTTTTGTGTAGCGCAATTTACGTTGTTTATGTTGATAGCTAGCTATTTTAATGAGTGTGCCCCTGATGACAGCCTTGTGTGATTGCCATACTGTTTCAATGTTCGTGTCTTCTGAGGGGTTGTCAGTAAAATAGTGTTCTATGTCTTTCTGGATTGCTGCTACTGTGTCTTTGTTGGTAAGTAAAGTGTCATTAAGTCTCCAGGTGCCCTTTCCTGTGGACGGGTGTTGTTCATGAATAGTTAATGAAATGGGCGCGTGGTCTGACCACGTAATAGGGCCTATTGTTGCCTGTCTGATTTTGTCCATGTAGTTGGCCGGTATCAAAAACCGGTCGATTCTCGTATACGTGTTGTGCACTGCTGAGTGGAAGGTATAATCTATGGCCGTGGGGTACTCCTCCAGGGATCCACGAAGTCGTGGGAGAGGATAGTGTGTGTTATTTTAGAGGTTAGGGTCGTTAGTTTGTTAGCAGTTTTAGTGCGTTGTGAGTGTTTGGAGGAGGTATCTGAGGAAGCGTCCAATAGGCAGTTAGTATCACCTCCCAGAAGTACATCTCCAAAGCGGTACAAAGAGATTAGCCCAAAGACTTTGATCATATACTCATGTTGGTTCTCATTCGGTCCATACATATTTACCAACGTGTATGGGTCATTGTTTATGTAGCATTGGATGATTAAATATCTACCGTGTTTATCTCCTATTTTTTTAACGAGTGTGAAGGATACGTCTTTGCTGATCAGAGTGGATACCCCTCGTTTTTTTGTTTTGTAGCACGAGTGGAAGTCTATGGGGTATAGAGTGGAATTGAATTTCGGTCCATGCCCCCATTTAAAGTGGGTTTCTTGGTAAAAAAACTACCAGAGCTTTGTGTTTCTTAGCTTCTGCTAGCGCTAGTCGTCTCTTATGAGGCGTGTTAAGACCCTTGGTGTTTAACAATAAGATTGTGAGAGTCATGTTGTAGGTCTAGGTGAGGTTGCTATTCGAGACAGTTTGTGTCTGATCTCGTTCTTCACTTCTAGATCAGTCTGTAAGCCATATATCATATCAGTACCTCTGTGTTGGGCTATGGATGTCTGCCATTCAAGCAAGGATGGGGCCTTGCAAGGCACGCGGGTCACCATAATGGTGTGTACCCTAGAGGGGAGTGAGGTGCTACAAGCTAGCTTGTGTGGGCATTGCGTGTCCCGTGGGTGGGTCGGTATTGCGGTAGGTGATACCAAGAAAAACTTGTAAATACAGAAAAACAGTAAAAACAGTATAACTATATACAGAGAGCCGTCGAAAGCCGTACCAAAGCGTACAGATGGCGGTAAGGAGGCCAGTAGTGGCCTAATGGGGGGAAGTCAATGGATTGCCCTGCAGGGGACTTGTGCGACATCACAGGGCCCTTTGGTGGGGTCCTGGCACAGATGCCTGTGTATGGTTGTTGGGACGTGCAGTGTATAGCTTATCTATACTGGGTCACGAAACCCGCTGGAATTCACTATAGTCCCACAATTATACATAAAGAGAAAGAAACAAAATGGACTGTAAAACAGCCTAAGGACTCTGAAAATAGTAAAACAGGAAAGGACATGTTATATGCTATGGCAGTATGTGAAAAGCTTATGATAACGTTACCAGTCCGTGGAATTGAGGTTAGGGTGGAGCATTATATCATAGTGAGCATTAGATGCCAAAGTCATTTAGCTGTGGAGGTGGTGTTCCAGTCTCTGGAGACCTGTGTCAAGGAGCGCTGGGACAGGTTTAGCGTAGTGTTGTCCGAAGGTACTCTGAAAGGGACATTCCATTCTTTAAGCATTCTTTGGCCTTCTTCTATCGAGGTGATATGTTTTTCTACTCCATTTCGACGAATTATCAGCCGTGCTGGAATCCCCCACTTATAGTGAATATCCGCGTCTCGCAGGGCTGTTGTTATGGGTGCTAGCGTTTTCCTTTTGAGCAGCGTGGCAGCTGGAAGATCGATGTAGAGCTGTATTTTAGCAAATCTGCCCGGCAATTCGGGGAGAAGCCTTGAGGCTCTCATAATCTTGTCTTTGGACGAGAAATAGTGAAACTTGGCTATAGTGTCACGTGGAAGAGATGGCGGCAGATTTCTTGGTCGTGGGAGGCGATGAATCCTATCTAGGAGGAGGTCTGATTGAGATAGGTTTGGGGATATTGCTTGGAAGAGGTCTGCAGCATAGGATGCCAGGTCTTGTGGAGCTACATCTTCCGGAATACCTCTCATGCGTATATTGCTCCTCCTGTCTCTGTCTTCGTGGTCTGCCACCTTGTCAGTTAGTAGGTCAAGTCTGGCAGCCGTGTCTGCATGAGCATCTACTAATGTGTTGTGTGCTGTGATGATCTCGTCTGTTTTGTCTTCTAAATGGGCGGTACGCTTGCCTATGGCCTGGATATCTGCTTTAATGTCCCTCGCCAGTTTTGTAAATTCTACCTGCATGGAGCTTTTGAGGTCTTCTAGCATCCTCTGGATTGAGGAGTCTGTGGCTGGTGCAGAGGTTAGTAAAGAGATGGATGTACCGTCACTCCTATCGGAGCAGGATGCCGGTGAAGACGGGCCGTCGGCGCCATCTTGGAATTTCATTTGCGGCGAGGTGCGGGCTGTAATTTGCAGATCTACAGCTCTCTGCCTCGGTTTTTTCGTTGAGCGCTGTGCCATGCTTGCCAGGCACCCAGGTAGGGTCGTTTGTGCGGCACTGTGTGCTGTGCTGTTCGCTGAGTATGGGTCCCTTATGCAGGAGCTCGTGGCTTACGTGTCCATCTTGGATCGTTGCGTGGCCACGCCCCCCAGATTTTTTTTTTTTTTTTTTAATTATTCAAAATGTAAATAAATTCTGGATGATTAGTCAGTTAAAAAGAGGAACTTTATGGGCCCTGTAACCAGGGACTTCAGCCCAGGCTTACTTTTATGTCCCCTTCCACATATATAAACTTAAGCCCCTCAAAACAGCCACCTTAAACCACATCCTACGGCCGAATGTAAACTCTAAAATGTTACATAAATTACATTGTGACACCAATAGAATGTGACGGGAGATAAGAACTCTTCGGCCCATCTAGTCTGCCCAATTTTCTAAATACTTTCATTAGTCCCTAGCCTTATCTTATAGTTAGGATAGCCTTATGCCTATCCCACGCATGCTTAAACTCCTTTACTGGGTTAACCTCTACCACTTCAGCTGGAAGGCTCTTCCATGCATCCACTACACTCTCAGTAAATTAATACTTCCTGAAATTATTTTTAAACCGTTGCCCCTCTAATTTAAGACTATGCCCTCTTGTTGTGGTAGTATTTCTTCTTTTAAATATAGTCTCCTCCTTTATTGATAATATCATGTTATTATATTTATAAACGTCACACCTGCTCTATTAAGTTCAAGCTATAGTGGGTTATTCCTTCACTCAGTTGCAATAAAACACTGTACCCATAGCAATATCCCTACACAGTGCTCAATAATTACCTTCATATATGTCACATTATGGTGTCACTTCAAGATGTTATTCCTCTCTCACAATTACAGGAGACTCAAGGCCAGTAATGAAATGGTGTCAAAATTAGCCCTGGGGCTTTTTAGGGCCACACTCCCCACCTAGCAATACACTTGTGCATAAAGCCCCTGCCCTGCCCTAAGTCTAGCCCAGTCTTATTTCTAGGTTTTTGCAGTGACTTACTTAATAAACATTTTTTTAAATGTAATAAAAACATTTGTACATTTGTATCTAGCTATTCTAAGGCATTTATCTGAAAATTGTTAAGTAAAGAAGTAAAGAAGGCTAGTGTGTGTTAGTTTAGTAGTAAAGTTGTAATGAAATATAGTGAAAATAAAATTCAACTTCCCAATAGCGACCCTTAGACAGGCGTAGCCCCACTCAAAATGATGGATCACTCAGCTACGTAATACAGAATGCAGCAAGCTGCAATAATTAGTATGAATTGCAGTACACATTGATTATCAACACTTTGAAGACACTTTGTGGCCCAAGGTTCCTTCCGGGGCTTTATTTATCTGAGGGCTGTTACCGGTCAGTAGTTCTGTATTTTCACTGTGGGCAAGAGAAAACTATTCACCCTTCCTTCACTTAGTACAATGGTCATCCACACAAGTGAAGGGACTGCACACAGAAAGTCTTCAGTGAGATCGTCATTGCTACTTTGGTGACCTGAAGTGGCAAATCGCATTAAACAGTGATAATAATAACAAAGAGGTCTGGGCACTGTACAGGCTTTAATTGGAATGCCCAGATACAGGAAACAACTTTTCAACCACACAATGTGGCCTAATCTAGTTTGATGGTCAGGCAGGTTGCACATTGAACAGACATAAAGCCTCTGTTTGGTAAGGTCATACTTGTTTGCTTTTGGAGAGTTCACTCCAAATTTGCCGACGTGTTTCCCATTTGAGACTACTATATCTAGGTAATAGTGTGCTGTTCACCTTTATCTCCATCTTCAGGTCCATGGGATTGAATACTTATGCAAAGCAGTATACCTAGTATTTTGCTAATTAACTGGCAGTGAAATAATGAAATATTAACAGCTTTGTTTTGCTTTTCTATTTCCAAAGTTGATTTGTAAAAACAGTATACAGAAAAAATGTGAATAGTAAAGACAAAAAAGTACATCTTATAATAATTACAAATCACTTTTGTAGCTGAAAAGATTTATATTATACTCATATCCCCAATCTATAATACATTTACCTCTATTTCAGCTAGAAGACCTGTCAGTTTTTCAGTATGGACATGTGCGACTTTAAATGATACTACAATCTTCAAAACCCTTAGTTAATGATAAAAGTTGAAGGACGCAGAGAGTTTTTGATATCTGCAACCAAACAGAAGTCAGTATTGGCCCATTTGTGCACATTAGCTGATAGGATACCTCTTGCAATGCATGGATGAAGAATTTTTGAAATACAGGCTTGCTAGTAATATTATCGTCAAATGTTTTTTATTAAATCGTTTTTACATTTTAACAAATGAAACAATAATAATAATCAGTATTTATCAAGATAACATAAATGAATGAACACTCATTAAGAATAAGTTTAAATAACATATGGAAAAATAAAAAATAAATTAAATAATAAGAACAGGGGAAAAATATCCATCCATTATGAGATTGGCAATAGCATCAGTATAAGCAATATACTGATACAAACAAGGTGTATCAAAATATTGAAAAACAAAACAGTTTGCATGGAATGCTACTTATTATTATGTACAGCAAAGGTGAGGAAAATTAACAGAAACTGGAAAACAAATGGAATTTAACCCCTTTAGGACACATGACGGAAATATTCCGTCATGATTCCCTTTTATTCCATAAGTTGTATCCTTAAGGGGTTAAATTATATAGGATATTTGCATTTGACAGCTACCTCCAAATGTTCCAGTAGTACTTGAGTGAATCAGTTATGCTGGATGGTAAACAAAGATTCAACTTGTACCTTTTATTTTCCAGAAACAGGGATAAAATCTCTTCAATAACTGGAATCTTAGTCAATCTCCAATATCTAGGTATAACCATTGCAGCGGCAATTAACCCCTTAAGGACGGAGCCAAATGTACACGTTGTAAACAAAACAAAATATAAACAAAACCTGGCATTTGCGCTACATGTCTGTCCAACCGTAATTCAACTCTTTCATAGTAAATGCACCCACACTTATTATATATCATTTTGTTCAGGAGAAACAGGACTTTCATTTCATATTAAATTTTTATATATGAAATATAATTTATTATGAATAAAATTTAAAAAACTGTGAGAAATGTTACATTTTTTAAAATATTTGTAGTTCCGCCTCACATTTTAGCTGTAAATGTCATAATACTGTTAGGTTTTACTGCAAAAAAATGCACATATTTGTAATCAGCGATGTCTCACGGGTACAGCAGTACCCCCCATTAACAGGTTTTATAGGGTCAAATATAGAACGTTCCATTTTCACATTGAAATTTGCCAGATTAGTAATGTTACCTTTGAGACGGTGTGGTAGCCCAGGAATGAGAATTACCCCCATAAAGGCAGACCATTTGAAAAAGTAGACAACCCAAGGTATTGAACGTGGGGTATGTTTAGTCTTTTTAGTAGCCACTTAGTCACAAACACTGGCCAAAGTTAGCGTTCATATTTGTTTTTTTGTGAAAAAAGCAAAAAACTAATATTTGGCCAGTGTTTGTGACTAAGTGGCTACTAAAAATGACTGGACATACCCCATTTGCAATACCTTGGGTTGTCTACTTTTGCAAATGGTATGCCATCATGGGGGTAATTCTTATTCCTGGGCTACTATACGGTCTCAAAGGCAACATAATCTGGCAAATTTCAATGTCAACAAAATGAAATGCAAGCCTTATATGTGACTCTCTAACTTTCCAAAACACCATAAAACCTGTACATGGGGGGTACTGTTATTCTCGGGAGACTTCACTAAACACAAATATTAGTGTTTTAAAACAGTAAAACATATTACAACAATAATATAGTCCATAAACATGACGTTCGTTTGTAAAAAATGCAAAAAACTTCACTTTTACTTAAAATATCATCGTTGTAATACATTTTACCAGTTTGAAACACTAATATTTGAGTTCAGTAAAGTCTCCCGAGTAAAACAGTACCCCCTATGTACAGGTTTTATGGAGTCTTGGAGAGTTACAGGGTCAAATATAGTGCTTGCGAATTAAATTCTCTGCACTTTCTCCCTGTGTTGTCAGGCATGTCAATCAAATTTTAATTAATCACATCACATAATTATGTTAAAAGATTACTTAAATATACACGTAGAATTTTAATATATATGCATTTATAGGTATTTAAATTCTACGTGTATGCTAATGTAATCTTTTATGTAATTATATGTATTTATCTATATATATTTATTTGCGGTTATTTGTATTTTATATATAGATAGATATATATAGAATGTCATTCTAAGTGTATTTTGTTACCAATAAATATATATATATATTAATAACAAAATACAGTTAGAATGAAATTACATATGAATATATAATTTATATTAAATTTTGTTTCAATATTTTATTTATTTTATTATTTAATTTATTTATTATTGTAATTATATGTATATATATATATTATATATATAATATATATACATATTATATATATGTAACGTCATTTTAAGTTTATTTTAATATTAATATATACTTATATTAATATTAAAATACATTACATATGACGTTATATGTATATATGTATATATATTATATATATAATATATACACATATATTATATATATATAAAAATATATTTAATTTATTTTAAAGCATGTCTAATTTTTTTTTGTTTTACATTTCCCACCAGCAGGGGGACTGTCTGACATTTCAGACAGTCCCCCTGCTGGCAGATCCATAGCCAGCTATAGGGGGCCATGTGATCGCTCTTTGAGAGCGATCACATGGCCCCCGGGGGCCTCATTCACCGGAGGAGGGCTGCCTGGGCGGTCTGGCAGCCCTCCAGAAGAGGATCACGGCGGAGGTAAGTACCGCCGGTCCTCTGGGGCTCAAAGCCGTTACGGGGTTCTATGCTGCCGCAACGGTTTTAAAGCCCATTAAAGCCGCGACGCCATAGAACGCCGTAACGGCGGGAAGGGGTTAAAACATGGCCTACTAGTATTCTATCAACTTTAATGAAATCATCAGGAATTATCCTAAATAGACACAATTCTGGGGATAAACTCAATGGAAGGAACAATATCTTTAACTACAGCATCTTGTGTACCTATGTGTCTGCATCCATGCCAACAGAGATATGACACAGTTGATTACGTTTTCAGGAGACAAGATTGTGTCAAGTACAATCTATAGAGAACTTTATAATGGTTTTCCAGATGGACCGAGCACTGAATTATACATTTTACATTTAAAGTAATGTGTAGCCAATTATCTAGAGATACCACCCTCTGGAGATCCCTCTCCCATGCTTCCATTAAGTCTAATTTGGCATGGGGTCAAGTCATAATATAGAAGTAGCCCAGCAATATGGATCGTTTTCTACTTGGATCAAGATAATTTTTTTTCAAATTTTTCAAAGTGCTTATATTTATGATCAAGAATTGGGGCTTCTAAAAACTCTCTAAGTTTGTTAACTATAATTTCGTATTTGGGGCAACTAGATTATATTTAAGATGAATTCTGTTGAAGGATAGTAATGAATTGTTTGTAAATAAAGTGTCCAGATTGGCTAGAGAGAGATCTCTAGTAATATTTTACTATATTAAAAAATAAAAATGGGAAAAAAAAAACAGATGTAAAAGAATGTAGTTTTTAAATTACTGTATGTTGGTACAAAGGAGGAAATACAATTTCTCGTGACAGAGAGTGTTTAATGCTTTTATAAATGGCATGAAAGCAGCTGTAAAAAAAAGCAAACAGCACATTGGTTCTTGAAAACTTACGTCTCACATTACATCTGCAGTGCAGTTTGTTGCATCTGTAACATGCTAATGTAGGAAGGCTTAAACACACCGAAAATCTGCTAGTCTCTGTGTAAATAATATATTAGGTCTGTATTTCTGAGAAACAAAGTTATCCTTTGTTAACTCGACAGTAGCAATAATTGCTGTTGCAAGACACATACCTTTCGATGGCAATTAAATTCTCAGCCTTCTAATTATTTTATGTTAGTTACAATAATAATGTTTTACGATGACCGACATACCTTGGAGCGTAGCATGGTTTAGAAAATATCAAATCCATCTTAATTGAAAGCTGCAGTAAAATAAATGATTGCACATATTGTATAAAATAAATAATGGAGTCTTATGTTACAGAAAATAAAATGTTTATTCAATATAATAATTTCTTTTCACCTCATCCATTCTGCCTTCAATCCAATAAATTTGAACACATATTCTACACTCCTCTTTAGAGAGCTGGATCAATAGAGATAGCATTCACATTTAAATATTTACATGATGGAAGTACCCGGATGACTTTTACTGATCTATTGTAGATTGGAAACGTTCCTTAATGTGGAACATTTTTC